TCTTTATTTGTAAAATGACTTTGGAAGGTAACAGAACTTACAGTAGCTAAAGTCGACAGTGTCTCTCTGCTTCAGATTGGCTTCAGTTTGTGTTGTTGGAGTAGATGGTTGGAGAGGTGAGCCAGTGTGGAGATGCTGAGATGATGTGAAATTCCACCTGAGAAAGTGAGATGAAAAGAATGTTTGACAGGTTCTTTGTTTCAGTGCTGTTTTTTAAACATGTGCTTGCTGACTTCACCCCACAAGTGTCCACTTGCAGGATAGGCGTAGAAAGAAGCAAGAGGAGAAGATTTCTCAGTGATTTTTTTGCACTTTTGAGTGCTAGTGAGATTGAATTTTTGAGTTTGAGGAGTATCCTTAAAAAGTCATGGCAGCCACTGATATTTATGATATGAACATGCTATGTGCTTCAATACTTAAAACTGGGATATGATCATATGCTATGTGATTCAATGTTTATAACTGGCATATGACCACATGCTATGTGATTCAACGCTTCTAACTGGGATATGACCACAAGCTATGTGATTCAATTCTTATAACTGGGATATGATCATATGCTATGTGATTCAATGCTTCTAACTGGGTTATGAACATGCTATGTGATACAATGCTTATAACTGGCATATGACCACATGCTATGTGATATAATGCTTATAACTGGCATATGACCACATGCTATGTGATTCAATTCTTATAACTGGGATATGATCATATGCTATGTGATTCAATGCTTCTAACTGGGTTATGAACATGCTATGTGATACAATGCTTATAACTGGCATATGATCATATGCCAAGTGACTCAGTGCTTCTACTTGGGATATGATTGTTTGCTATGTGATTCAATACTTCTAACTGCGATATGAACAGGTTATGTGATTCTATGCTTCTACTTGGGATATGACTATATGCTATGTGATTCAATGCTTATAACTGGGATATGAGAATATAATATTTGAAAGCCTTTAACTGGGATTTGACCACATGCCATGTGATGTAATGCTTCTAAAGGGGACACGACCATATGCTATGTTTTGTTCCAAAAATAACTTCCTCCCTTTAGCAATAAAAAAAGATTTTTCCAGGATGTCCATTTTGTTTTTGACCATAACCACTTGAACACGTCATACTTGTGACCACCAGAATTGTATGCAGGAACTTCTGAAAATTGCAGCACAGTAGTGCGGTGGGTAGCGCTGTTGCCTCACAGCAAGAAGAGCCTGGATTTGATTCTGTGTGGAGTGTGCATGTTCTCCCCCTGTCTGTGTGGGTTTCCTCCCACAGTCCAAAGTCATGCAGGCAGGAACAGAGGATGCCCTATACGCGAGTGTGTCTGTGTGACTGGCCTGTGATGGATTGGTGACCTGTCCAGGGTGTTTCCTGCTTTCTGCCCAGTGAGCACTGGGATAGGCTCCAGCACCGCCCCCCTCCATAACCCAGTAGGAAAAGTGCCCTAAAAAACCTTCTGAGGAGGACAGCAGCCTTTTTTGCTAGCTAGCAAGCTAGCAGAGTGAAGTAATGAAGTTGCCTTAGCAGTTATATATAAACATGGAGCAGTTTGGTACAAAGCCCAGTTTGAACATAGTAAATATGATGTCATAGTTTTTAAATATTTAGTATTTTAATGTATTCTTTTGCTCTGGCTTGCCATTTTTGCAAGGGGTCATCTAACAAATTACAGTTATGCACAAGTGCAGCCCACGTAAAAGCGTTATTACAGCATCTGGGATTCCCCTCTAAGAGGAATGTTGAGGCCAAGTTGACAAAAACAGTAAAACAGTACTGAAACAGGGGGTTGACCGAGTAGAACTTCACTTGCGAAAGCGAGGATTGCTCAAGAAAAATCACACCTAAGAGAGTGAGACAAATTTAGATGCTTTGATGCCTTCAGCAGAAGACCATCTGAAAGGCACACATTTCCAATGGTTGATTATTTGAAATGATAAAAACACTGTGTGAGTGTAACCAATGTCCTGCAAAGAGCTCATCTCACCGCTGAACTGCTCCACACACTCATAAAAAAGGTACTAAACTGTCACTGGAGTGATGCCCTCAATGGTACCTTTAGTTAGGGAACATAAAATTCTGTTTCTGTTTAAATTTCTGATCTGTTCATTTTCGTCTCAGCCTTTTGATTTTATTGTTCTGTTTTAAAACATTAGGTTATGAAAAGGAACAAACACATTACATACAAATACATATACCAAAAGTATGTGGACACCTAATTATTGAGTTCAGGTGTTTCAGCCACACTCATTGCTGACAGATGCACAATATCAAGCACATATTACAAAGCACATATTATCTCCATAGACAAACACTGGCAGTAGAATGGATCGTAATGAAAGGCTCAGTGACTTTAAATGTGGCGCTCTTCTAGGATGCCACCTTTACCACAAGTGAGTGAAATTTCTGTCCTGCTAGATCTGCCTCTGTCAACTGGAGATGTTATTATTGTAAAATGAAAGTGTCTAGGAGCAACAACAAAGCAGTAGAACATGCAAAACTGCCTGTCCTCTGTTGCATCAATACAGGGTTCCAGACTGCCTCTGGAATCAAGCTTACAATCACTATGTGCAATGCCAAGCGTTGGCTGGAGTGGAGTAAAACATGCCGCTGCTGGACTCTTGAGCAGTGTAAATGTGTTCTCTGGAGTGATGAATCACACTTCACTATCTAGTTTTGCAGAGAATGCTGCCAACTGGAGTTTGGTGGAGGAGGGATTATGCTCTGGGCCTGTTTTTCAAAGTTTGGGCCCTTTAGTTCCAGTGAAGTGTAATGTTAATGCTACAGCATATACAGGCATTTTAGATAATTAAATCGCTGTTGTCAGAAGAAAACCTTGTATCTCCAATTTTGTCATTTTTTAGTTTTTGACATAATTTGAAAATGCCTGTTGCCCTTTACATTGTCTGTAAATTTCATGATGAATGGCCAAACAGAAATGGCCCAAAATTACTTGGAAAAAAGTCTGGTTCCATTGACTTACATTAAAAGTAAAGTAGGTTTTTACCTTCTCCTGTAAAGCTATCAATTTGGAGATATGAGGTTTTCTTCCAAGAACAGTGATGTGCTTAGGTTACCTTGTTACAACACAGTTACTACACAGTAATTATGTAAAACATAAATGTAATATTATGTAAAACATATTTCCTTTAGCTGCTGGAAAAGACTTCTGATCTGTAGTGTATCAAAAAGATACATTTGTCTAATTACATGAGGCAAAACTGTAGTTGATACACGTGTAATTACACAGGCTGTACTTCTACAATACAACTGTAACATTGGGTAAATCATCATTAGTTACACTGTTGTTGCATATGTTATCCATGTGTAACTACACAGTTATTAGAGACAATATAAAGTGGGACCAAATGCACACTGAGCTTTGCCATAAAAGAGTCTCTGTCTGTGTGCAACAGCACTTAGTGAAGCAGGTAGCCTAACAGCTAATTTTACTATTTACTACTGTCTTTTATTTGCATCAACATTACGTGATAATTATCTATCTACACTTCAAAGCATCCATGTGTTTTTCCTGTTAATAATATTGTTTTTGCGTTTTATCCACAGCATTAAACATCATGAGAATATGGCAACTCGCCATACTTGTGTAACTTATTTTATATATGAAAAAGGCCATATTTACATGGTGCTAATATTGTATGTAAGCTATGGCCTTTCACTGTTGTTTCGCAGGAGAAACTCATCCAACCTGGAAATTTCACATGTATCACAAATGTTGGTCAAAATTTCTAAATCAAAAATGATTTTCATAGGGCTCCCGAGTGGCGCAACCGTCTAAGCGTTGGCCCTATCATCAGGAGATCGCGAGTTCGATCCCTGGTGATGCTACAGCCATCCGTAGCCGGGAGTCCGAGAGAGCACAATTGGCCTCACTCTCTCTGGGTGGGTAGGATGGCCCCTCCTTCTCCCCCCATCACTCAGCGCGATGCTAGTTGGCGCAGGCGTCTGTTAGCTGACGTAGCAGATCTGGCGGTTGGCGCTTTCCTCCGAGCGCGTTCGGCTGTCCAGTGACGTTGCGTGAGCGGCAGTTCGAAAAGAAGCGGTGGTTGGCTTCACAGGTCTCGGAGGAAGCCTGTGTTAGCCTTCACCCTCCTAGCGTTGATAGCATCGTGTGATTGGGGGAGTCCTAACTAGCGGGTGGAATTGGAAACGACTAAATCGGGGAGATAATTGGGTATGATTTTCATTCGGTTAAAAGTGATCATATAAGGTTTTATGTGTCTGGTTAGATTTCTATCATTTGTAGATGCTGATCATTTCATTTATTTCTTCATGTTTCATATTCCACATTTCATTTCATAAAATATTTTGCTGAACATTATTTTTTGTATTTTTTTCTAAAGTATTTGTGGAAATAAGAGGCCGAATGTAGCTCTGATATTTTTAGGCTGTTAAAATTCTGCTTATTTCCTGTACTTGACCTCATGGTTCACTACACTGGGATGCTAATGATAACTAGTTACATCAACAACAAAAAACATCGAAACGAAACATTGAATCTCCAAAAATGATGACTTTACACCAGGAGGAAAAAATAGTCTTGAATTATATGGAAAGTTAATCTAATCAGATTTTTTCTTAAATGGAACATTTCTATTGGTCCGTTCATTATTAAATTTCAACAGAGTTTTTTGCACTACGGCAATGATACATGTAACTGCTTCTGTTTAATAGTTGCCCCCATATAGTGGAGTAACTAACAGTTCAGGTCATCATAGCAAAATGTCAAGCAGAGGCCGCCACCCAGAGTTCTGCTTTCACTCACACCGTTCTGTTTGTGTCTCACCCAGATGTGGTCAGCTATGCTTCCACCTACATAGACTGGAGGTTGACAGCATTGCACCTTCAATGCATCAGGCAACACTGTTTTTTTCCGTCACCACTCAGCTGCGCTGTTCTACTGCCTGTAGAAAAGTGTGACCACAGAAGTGCAAAGCACAAAATTTCAGGTCATTTGTTATTTATTTAGAAGTAACAAAACCAAACCACTTCTCAGAGATGGCAACTGGGGCATAGTTTAACAAACTACAATTTGGCACAGCACGCAGGGGCACAGCACAGTTAAGGGAACTCTGATAGTGTCATGGTGTGTTGAAAGAATATAAAGTGACTAGTCATAAACAAAACATACACAAACAGTGGAGCCCTAGTTTTAGAATAATAGCAGTTTATAATAATAATTAGTTCTCATAGATGCACTCTTCTCTCTGAGGCTGACTTGCACCCTGTGGGTCAGGCCTGGGATTAGTCCTGGTATTTGATCCAGCGCAGGGCTGAGCAGTAGATCCGGATGTGAAGAAATTTAGGTTTTCATAAACTTTATTGCTGAAGACGATTGAGTCAGAAGTATCTTCTTTCTTCTTACCTGCACACAGACAGATAGAGAGACAGACAGTCATGCTTTTACTGTAAATAATTATAATGCATTACAAGGAACATTCAAGCACAGGTCAATTTTGTCTCAAGTGTTGAATGATAGTTTCCACTGCGTTTTCAATTCATTAGTTACACTCAAGGTGCGAAATAAAGGGGGTCCTTAAATCAACCTCTTGGACCCCCTAAATGTCTAAAAAATCAAAATGCTGGGGGTTCTTGACGATAAACTTATCATGACGTCATGCTGTCCGTTACAGAACAATAGACACTCAAATACAACTTCAGGGAAAGGTGATTGTTTTGCCTGCTTCACCCACAATCAGCGAGCTTCTGTCTGGGTGGCGTTGCAGCAAATTGGTTCACCCAGTTGGTCCTTCATAGCCCAGCAACTGTTGCTATGCCTAAGATACCTCTGAAAATCTTTACAATGTGCTGTAGCATATCTGTAAACCTGAAAACTTGCCCAATTTTCCAAAAGATTGGTGGAAAGACTCAACTAAGCGAAAAAGAGTGAATTGTTACTCATTTCTCAAATCCAACACAGAAGAGAAGATGTGTAAGATTTCAGTTTATCTGTGGGAGATACTAGAGAAACTAGAGAAGGACATTTCCAAAAAAAATTGTAAAACCAGACATTTTGGTGCCGTTGAACCTAGCATCAGCGCGGCTATGGTGAGTGAGTTGGCAGCCAACAAACAATGGTGTAGCCAGCAAACGTGGGACCCCCAAATACCAGGGGGTATTTTGTACACTGGATATATCTACCTTGGCATACGTTTAAATTTTCTAATTTTTCTGCAATGTTTAGTGCACAGTTTCTATATATTTGCTGAATAAGTTAAGTTACTCTTTATTAGTCTCACAACGGGCAAATTCACCTCCACATTTAATACCACATACACACCAGTGAAAGTGCACACACACTAGGGGCAGTGAGCACACTTGCCCTGAGCGGTGGGCAGCCCTATCCACAGTGCCTAGGGAGCAGTTGGGGGTTAGATGCCTTGCTTAAGGGCACTTTAGTCATGTCCTGTAAGCTCAGGGGATTGAACTGGTGACCTTCCGGTCACAAGGCTGGTTTCCTGACCTCCAGCCCATGACTGCCCTCAAATGTTTACAAATTTACATATAATTTTACAAATAATTTATACAAATAAAAAATTAAATGCTCGATAACTTTTGCTCAGGCCACATTCTTTTTTTCCATCCATACATCATCTAAACCGCTTATCCTTCTGGGTTGCGGTGGGGTGCTGGAGCCTATCCCAGCTGTCATTGGGCGGAAGGCAGGATACACCCTGGACAGGTCGCCAGTCCATCGCAGGGCAATGTTCTTTTTTTCCAATATGTTAAATTCAGCAAATAAACAGTGATTGTGCATTACAGTGTGTGTTCTCTGTAGAGGATGTGCTAAATCATTTTTAGTTAGAAGATCAACAAAATATGAAATTTCACTAGGGGCGCCAAAACTATTGCATACAACTGTACAACTCATAGGCCATTACTATATGAGTGCATTTTTTAGGTTTACCATTACTGTCTGTGGCCCATCTGTTACTGCACACTTTATCAGCCCCCTCTACCTCACCCTTCAGCAGAAAGGGACCACCATAGGACCACCACTGACCAAATAGGTGGGCCATTCTCAGCACAGCAGTGATACTGATATGCCAGGGCCCTGTTTGTGTATCCTGTACTGGTTAGTGACACACGTGTCCCTGTGGTAGACTTGGTGTACAGTTAGAGCATCCTCTAGTTAGTCATCAGTGGTCGGTGCTGACCATAGGATCACTCTTAGTTGAATAATTTTAGTTGGTGGACTATTTCCAACCCAGCGGTGACACTACTGTGCATGATGCACTTAGCCCACATAGTGCCAGGCTGTTCTCATGTTGGTGTCACCACTGTGCTGAGTAATGTTGATACAAAGTAGGTGTGATAAATAAACAATGATAAATAAACAGACCAGTCAGTGCAAATATGTAGGTGTATTTTTATGAGGAGGCTGATGGAAAACTTGCTTTCTATTGTCCTCTAGTGGGGAAATCCTGCACTGCAATGTGTCAATGTTATGTAGCAGGGCTGAAGTAAAGTACTTCCGATTATACTATATAATCATCTACAAAGTGCTTTTAAGTTTAAGATTTTATGATTTAAGTGGAGCAGGCAGGTTTTTGGGGCTTGGAGCTGTGATGTTTACAGGTTACCCACTATTTAACAGGTAGGCCTAAGTGTGAAAGATAAAGATGTTGCACCAGAAGAGGGACGTTAATATGACAGGTTGAAGCAGAACATTCTTTAAACCTTCACCAACATTTCATGGCAAATGTCATGGTGTCCCTGTCTAAAACCTTCATTTTTGTCAATTTTGAATTTCTCCACTATTTGAACACAGCAGCTGTCCTTTACATTGTATAAAGGTCAGACATGGAATAGAACCTCTTTACATTAACTTACATTAACAGTTAAGACGATTTTTGCCTTCTCCTGAAAAGTTACCATTTTGGAGATACTGTTTTTCGGACAGTGACAATACGCCTTCATGAGCTGTCTTGACAGACTATTCTTAGGATTAGTCAGAATATTAAGCCATGATGTTTGTTTACATGAGAAGCAAAAATTAGCTTGTGAAATAAGATGTCATGATATGAAGCATCTGTCATGGAAATTACCAGTAATGGCAACATGACACTGTTATAACACTGAACAAAATCTTGTTTTGACAGCTCATGACAGAATATGACATCTGCCATGCCATGTTTATTTCAATGTTATGTAGCAGGGTTCAAGTAAATGGTTAGTAACGATATTCTATAACAATTTAAGACTAATTTGGGTGGAGCAGGCCGGCTTCCTGGCCCTTGGAGCTGTGATGTTTAAAGGTTAGCCACAATTTATCAGTTTGGTTTAAGTGTGAATGATAAAAATGTTGCACCAGGTCTTGTTTAGACATAGTAGGAAACAGAGAGGGAGAACAGGTCAAAAATAGACCTCTGGAAAGAAGATGTCAGCATGAGGTGTCAAACAGGAGGTGGAGAGAAAAGTCACAACTTCCTCTTTGAAATTCTCCAGAATGTTCTGGTGAAGGTGTTTTAATCTGTGATTTAACAGAGAATAACAGAGATATGAATAACAGAGAACCGCAACAGAAATAAATCTAATGTTAATTTCAAAACATTTCACTACCACTCAGCAAAGCTGAGCTATATACGTTAAACGATTCGTCATCTACCTCTGTAGGAAAGCGATGATTCCACTATTTTAAACATATGAGAACTTACATTTACAGATGACCACACAGAGGAGGATGATGAAGAGCAGCCCCACACATGCACCAATAGCTGAGCCAATCAGCAGCCAGAATATCTCTGTACCCCCTAAAACACATACAGGTAGTGACAATGAATACTAAGAGTGAGAGCAATACAATACAATACAATACAATACTATGTTACGATACGATACTTGAGCCCTGATATGACTGCGACTTTTAAAGATTAGTGACATGCCAGGTACTGCGATACTGCAATTTACAGCTGTTGACATAATTTGAAAAGAATGCCTCCAAAATGTTTTATCTAATAATGTTTACACTTTGTTTATCTCACTTGTATATTATTATTTACAGCAAACCTTATTGATGAAGCAGATAAGTAGGTATCTGAATGATTAACCGATTCATTTCCAATAAATATCTGTTTCGATTTGAATAGGAAGGCTTATCATTCAAGGTGAGGGTTGTTTTTGAATTCAATGCATGAAGGTGCGATAGGCAACTGGTTCCGTTAGATAAGCCTAGTGAAAAATGAAACATGCTGCTAAATATAGAGGGAGGACACTTTTCGATACAACGATATCGTATCAAAAGCAAACATCCACAGGCGATAAGACAGACAACCTTGTTACCCGAGAGAAGGTGTGATGGAGGTCAGTGTGAGGAAATCATACATGGGTGCGTATAATTATGGAGAAGAATGCTGTGGACAGCAACAGCTTTCCAGAGCTACCGAGGTACACTCATAAGACAGTCTGTCCACTCGATGGCCATCTTGGTAACATCCCCGGTCAGTGATTTCCACTCATACATGACCAAACTCCTCTCTTTGTGGACGGGGAGAGACTAATAAAACTGAAACTAAAAGCCACACTGTTGTGACATAACAAGCAAGCCAGTTGGCTCATTTTATTGAATGATGGGACGTTTCTCGTACACAGATGCCATGATAAGCGTTATGAAATTTCCCATAAATTGTCCAGCCAGTGAACTGTCTCCTCCTTTATAATTTCTCTGGTCAAAGCAAGCCCAGGTCATGGCATGTGTTTTGTGATGTGCTGTTGTCATTGAGTGTTAGGAGCTGATTGCACTGAGAAGCTGATTTGTTTTCTGTTTTTTATTATTATTATTACTATTTAAGAGAAAATAGATCTTATGACACTGTAGCTGAAAATCACAGGACTCCCTCCTTGACCTGTACACCTGGTGTTTGCTGTCTTAGCTTGGCTCTGGTTTTGTTCTTGGCCATTTACATGTGATTCCTGTGATTTTGTCTGTTGATGACTGGTTAAAGGACTTGCCCTCATTGCCCTCGTCATCGACATCTGACATATTTAATTTAGTTTAGTTTTTGGTCATATATGATCGTAATCATATTCAAGTTGTCAGTCTCGCAGTTTAAACAAAACCAGGTTCTTATGTAAGGTATATTATATTGGGACACCCCTCCTAATTATTGAGCTCAGGTGTTTTAACCACACCCATTGCTAACATGGGGATAAAATTAAGCACATAGTCTTGCAGTCTCGATAGACAACATTGCCAGTGTGATGGTTCTCACTGAAGAGCTCCCTGACTTCAAACATGGCACTGTCATAGGAGGCCAACTTCCACACAAGTCACTGTGTGAAATTTCTGATCTGCTAGATCTGCCCCTGTCAACTGTAAGTGCTATTTCTGTGAAATGGAAGCACCTGTGAGCAGCTGCAGCTTAGCCACAAAGTGGTAGACCACCCAAACTCACAGAGCGGGGCTGCTGAGTGCCAAAGTGCACAGTGCCTATCCTCTGTTGAATCACTCACTAAAGAGCTCTGGAAGCAGCATCAGCAAAATAACTGTGCATCAAGAGCAGCATTGAGCCAAGCATTGAGGGGGGATAGTGTAAAGCACTGCCACTGGACTGGGGAGCAGTGGAAACGTATTCTGTGAAGTGATGAATCATGCTTCGGCAGTCTGATGGACGAGTCTGGGTTTGGTGAATGCCAGGAGAACCTTACCTGCCTGACTGCATTTTGCCAGCTGTAAAGTTTGGTGCAGGAGGGATGATGATATGGGGTTGTTTTTCAGGGGTTGGTCTATAGATCCCTTAGTTCCAGTGAAGGAAAATCTTAATGCTTCAGCAGAACAAGACATTTTAGACATCTGTATGCTTCTAACTTTGTGGGAACAGTTGGGAAAGAACCTTTTCTGTTCCAGCATGACTGAGCCCCAGTGCATAAAGCAGCTCTGTAAAGGCCTGGCTGGGTGAGTTTGGAGTGGAAGAACTTGACTGGCCCTCACAGAGCCCTGATCTCAACCCCATTCGACATTTTTGGGAATTCCCACAGACACTCTCCAAAATCTTGTAGGAAGCTTCCCATAAGAGTGGAAGCTGTTATAGCTACAAAGGGAGACCAACTACATATTAATGCCTATGGACTTAGAACGAGATGCCATAAAAACTGTAGGTGTAATGAGTAGGTGTCCCAATACTGGTCTCCGTTTACATGCTGATGTCTGGCACTACAGTCCACAGCCTATTCAAGAAACACTGTTTCTCAGCACATCAATACAGACTTCAGTTGGTGTGTGCGTAGCGCTGACGCCCTCAGCCCTGTAAAATTCATGAAAACTCGATTGGTGGCTTAACTTTGGCTAAATTCAGTGAATGGGTACAGAGAACATATCTCTGCACATTTGAATACACAGTTACTGTTTATTTGTGGAATTTAATACACAGGAAAATAAATAAACTGTGGCATGTTGCTCATTTTCAATATTAGGATAACATCGTTTTTTTTTTCCCAAAATAGAAATTGTGCACCAAAAGTTTCAGAAAAATAAAAAGCACGTTCCCTGTAGAGTTTGTGTTAACTTATTTTTATTTTTACAATCATAAATCAACAATACATGTAATTTGGTTTTCAAACTTTTGCAAATGACTGTATATATCAAGTATTTTACAGTGGCTTTGAATGTGTCACAACCAATCAGATTTCAGAACCAGAACTATCCATTTTACAACTGATATTTTGAGAGGTGTTTTTTTTATTTTGGGCATGTTGATTAATTTAGACGCCGATGGTCGGAATTTGCCAAAAAATCACCTCCTTAGAGCAGACAAGGCAAAATTCTCCTGTATTTACATATGTAGCAGATGCTCTAATCCACTATCTAACACATGATCTTCTCCAGAGTGGTGTATAGCAGCAGTGTAGCAAAACACGTACCGAACTGTGATGTCCAAACCATGGTGTAAACCGCCGAACCGTAACTTCTGTGTACCATTACACCCCTAATATACAAGGCTGAGCTAAAAGACTTGCCCAAGAACTATTACGGAATAGAAGCAGTACTTCTTTTTTTTTTTGTTTGTTATTACAGACCTTGTGGTCTCACCACTACCTCCTCTGTCTCTACAGGCCACATTAATAAGTTGATAAATACCTACTTATAAATACTTGCATTCAATATCTTACACGATATGTAAGATACCTGTAGTTGTTTTAACTCAGTTCTAGATATTTACTTTTCCCTATACAACCCATACATAGACAAGTGAAGACAAAATCTCGAAAATGATATCAGTAGAAGTTTAGGGGGAAATGGTCTTCAGTTTCCCGTATGTGATGCGGACTGCATGCGTCACTTCCTCTTTAAAATTCTCTAGAACGTTCTTCTTTAAATCTCTTACACGGATTATAAAAATAACAGAGCAGTACAAAAGAAGTAAGCGTAACAAGAGCAGCTGGAAGTAATTCACCATTAGCGTTTAGACTCACCAGAACGCCAAAAAGACTCATTTTGCTTCCTTGTGGTCTACCAAACGGCTTAATAAAGTGGTTCCCAATCTTTTTACATTCTCGTACCCCCTCAGACATTGAACTTCCTGCCCCTTTTGCTCTTCATACACACATATATTGCCATGATATGAGACATTTTGACCTCTAAAATCAATACGCTTTGATAAATATGTATTTCGCTGTTGTTGGAAGCAAACCTCATATCTCCATTTTTTGTCGTTTTTCAGTTTTTGACATAATCTGAAAATGTCTGTTGTCGTTTACACTGCGTGTAAATTTCATGATGAATGGACTAAAAGAAACGGCCCAAAATGACTTGGAAAAAAGTCTGGTTCCATTGACTTACATTAAAAGTAAAGTAGTTTTTTCCTTTTCCTGTAAAGTTACCATTTTGGTTTTCTTCCCACAACAGAGATATGTTTATGGTGCAATGACACAACACACCTGATGTACACTCTCAGAAAAAAGATACTAAACTGTCACCGGGGTTCTAGGTACATATTCATGATCTTTAGGGAAGGGAACATAACTGTACAATATTCAACCACAATTATATGTTATTTAAAGTGACATTGATTCCATATTGTCCTTCTTTACTACAGACTTTTTACTTTATTTTTCTATTTTGAAATATTAGGTTTAAAAAATGTATCTATTTCCCCTGGGAAAGTGAATGTAGTGTACCTTTAAAACTCCTTTAAGGTCCACAGTCGGGCCTTAAGACCATTACTGTGAGGGCATATTTACATTGTTTGTACCTTGATGAACAAAAGTGCTCTTATACATCCAGTGTACCCTTTTTTTCTAACAGTGTACAGACATTTTTGTTTTATCTTAAAATGAGTAATATTTAATAAATATTCAGTGATAGGGGTGTTCATTACTATGTTGTAGGTGCGGCCCACTCTGGACTTCCCGTCAGAGCTCAGGGTGGCAGAGAACTGAACTTTCTTCATTTGTAATCATAAAGGCTGCAGCATCAATATGAGAGCACATGTGTGAGAAAGATTCTGCAGCTGTGAAATGAACGGCGAGTAACAAAATGTTCACTAACCAGAGCCACAGATTGCGAATCACAGTGACATCATCAAGATTTAACACATGAACACATAATAAAATGCTAATAGCTAAGGGCTGATCAAAACAGCTATAAAAAGCTCACAAAACTGCGAACAAAACAGTGAAAAAAAAAAGTGTCAAAATGAAACTAACTCTAGTACACGACTAAGAAGCATCAGTTAGTGAAGGAGGCTCACTTATTTCATGCACACAGCAGTGCACGATAAACTGCATGTATTCAGAGCTGGACTTGAAGCTGTTTGTGTACGGCTCAGTTAGAAGATGTACCTGTTTAGTTATGCGGCTGGCTGAATTAAATAAAATTAAATGAGGATTAATGTCTGGATTTTTTTGACAGACCTGCATTCTTGTTCAACACAATGTTACCTCGATTTGGGAACCACTGGCTTAATACAAGCATCCGCAATACATAATAAAAAAAAAAATATATCAGTTGCTACTTTTTCGTGCAAAATATATGCACTATATATGCAATACTACTGATTCTTTTCTCCCACTACTAATGGAAACGAGACAGAACAAGACTTTCATTCTCTGCTTGGTCAGCCTTGCACACGGCTAACTGCTAATCTCAGAAACCCTCTCTCGGCCTTTAAGAAGAGTTAAAACCCATACAAATTATACCGTGCATCTGTTCTGGCATAACTACTCCATCACATGCACGTTGACGTTCACAGCACTTTTTCACCATGTTTTGCACTTTTCCTCTGAGTATCATTTACTGGTAACAAACAAATTGCTTAACTGAGAGGCTCCAGGCTTTAGACTACCACTGTTCGTACTATATGACCACTACCAGCAGCATCACTAATATTTCTAATTTTACTTCCTTTGCTTCAGCATACACCAGGGTTTCGCAGTCACTGGGCAGTGGACCACAAGTGAGCCATGAAGCACCCTTTGGTGCTCCTCGGGCAAGTACTGAGGAGGAGCTAGTGGTCTGTAGTGGGCCAGTGATGTTAATTTGTCATAAAAATCTGTGAAAAAAAATATCTTAATAATAATAAATGTTCTCAAATGATACACGATATTATTAATATTATTAAAACAAGCTTGTCTTTGCTTTCTCTGTTGATATTTAATGTCCAGTGATATACGTGGCATGCTGTGCCACCTGAAAAGTGCTGTGTTGAAAATTTGCCAAAAATGTCCCCAAAATTTCCCAAAAATTACATTTTATGTTTAAGCAAAAAAGTTTTTTGTTCGCTTTTGTGTGGGCCTTTATGCTTTCTAGTGATAAATAGTTGGACTTGAGGTGTAAAAGATTGAGAAGCCCTGGCATGGGCCCTGTGTTCTGCAACAAAAGTAGAGGCCTAAGCCTTCACTGAGGGTCACTGGTGTGTCCTAATTCAAAGTTTTTCAAAGCTTTTGTGGTTATCGCTTCTCATGCGGTTGGTCTTGTTTATGGGGAAAAAGCTGCGGCGGTTAACAACAATTAGAGCACTTGGTTGAACATGCCTCGGTGAAGAAAGCAAAGATGAAACACACCAACGGAAATTCATGTGACCAAGCAGTTACTCAGTGGTATGAAGAAATGATTGTTGTCTCTAAACAAGAGTACCTGTGCACAATCAGCAGGCCTCATTTAGAGCCATCTCAAATGTGAACATCGCTGCTGTTAGAGTTTCAGTTTTTGACACAATTTGAAAATAACTGTTGGCCTTTACATTGTGTGTAAATTTCATGATGAATGGACTCATCGACCCAAAATGGCTTGGAAAAAAGTCTGGTTCCATTGACTTACATTAAAAGTAAAGTATGTTATTTCCTTCTCCTGTAAAGTTACCATTTTGGAGAGGTTTTCTTTTCAGGCAACAGCGACATACTTGTTACAGCAGGTCCAAATCAATACATGTAAAGACCTCAGTGAGAGGTAATGGCAGAAAACACTCACCCTTCTTGCTGCTTTTGATTGTGATGTTCTTGCTGTAGAGTGTGTGGTTGCTGGAGTAGCTGGCCTGGCAGGTGAACGTGTCTCCGTCTTCCCAGTGAGGCTTGCAGAGTGTCAGTGTGCTGCTCATGTTGATGGGGTTGTTCTGGTGAAGAGGCTGCTCAGATTCTCTGGTCCAGGTGAAGCTGACCTGCTGTGGACTCAAACCCTCCAGAGAACAGAGCAGCTTCACACAGCTCTGGTCACTGATGTTCACCTGCTGCACAGTAAGACCTGCTGGAACTGAAGAGGGACTGAATTAGCAAAGAAATACCAGCTTTTCTTCAAAGTAATCAAACACTCTACACAGCACACAGCAGCATTTATAAGACCGAATGCTATAATATTATGTCTGCATACAGGGTTGGGGTGTAATACAAATATTTGGAATACATATTTCAGAATAACAATGCAGTATGTGTGTTCAGTTTAATTTTGTAAAGGCGGCATTCAGAATACGATTACTTTAAAACATAGTTTTAGATTACTTACCCACTAAATTAAAAAAGTACCATTTTAAAAGAAACACCATCAGCGCTGGCTTATTTTAAAAACAGCACACAGCATGTAAAGACATACTCTAAAGAAGAGCTCAAAAATGGCTTCTTTACAAACACTGCAGTTCCTGCTAAAGCCTGAGTGGACTGATAAATCAATGTGATGAGCCAGTTATTAATCTCAGCCTTACTAAACCCATTTGAGGGATGATAAAACTAAACAGTGTCCTCAGTAGTGAACATGTCCATGAGTGAAAAGCTTAGCAATGGTGTTGATCTGGACTCCTGTGTTTTGAGGCAAGTTAAATAAATGTCATTAACGGAAAATCACAGCTGTTCACTTTGGATTCAAATTGGTAAAATTTTGTTATTGGTATACGGCAAATTGTTTGCTTACTTCATGAGACAGCAGTTGGATTATGGGCACAGTGGACTGATGCAGATGATGAGAGACAAAATATGGTGAAGAATTTTGTAACATAATTTAAATAAAAATCATTAAATATGTCACATGTTGTAGAATTTCATGAAGAAAACTGCCAACCAGCAACAGCAAAGAACAGCGTGAATTACAATAAAAACAGATTTTTTTCCATTTGCCTTCTATAATATTCTAAATGTATTCTGAATACCTTACTTTTTTATGTATTGTAATGGAATATGTTACTGAATACATTTATGACTGTGTACTCAGTATTCAGCTATCATTACTTTTTCAATATATTCTTCCCAACCCTGACTGCCTAAAATACAGAGAATATATAAATGGTCACAATCTTTTAATGTACATACAAAAAAAGAAGAGTTTAATCACCATTAACTTGAAGAATCAGGACAGAAAAGTCATCCACTGCTGGTGGGGGGATCACCCTGGTCATTGAACAGTTATAAACACCAGCATCACTGCTTGTAACGTCTGTTATAATCAGACCGATTGGGTCTGTATTTACTTTGAACCGGGATTTACAGTCAGGGTCACTAGTCTTATTTTTACTCATACGATATTTACAGAAACCTGACTCTCCATCCTTTTGCCAATCAACACTAACACTGTCTCTGTAATCAAACAGTGATGGGCACGGCAGAAGGACAGTCTCTCCTCTGGACGCTGTAATAACTTTCTCTGCACCTGTAGGGTAAAAAAAAAATAGTGTTGATTAGTCTGGTGTAAAGTAATGGGATGATAAAAATACATCCTGATCAGAATTAAAGACCATGTTTTATACAGTGAACATGCTCACATAAACATTTACAGTGCTGTGTAAAAGTGTAAAGCACATAAGCAAATAGTTTAAACCATTTATTTGTGCAATAAATTTGTTTAAAATACATGATAAAGCAAATGATAAAAAAGCGAGTTCAGCAAAAGTAATTTTTCAAAATAATATTTGTTATCTTGTGAGCTAGTTAGAAGAACACAGGCATGATCTCAGCCAGCACACAGATTTGTCCTAATTAATCACCAGTATATGCGTTTTAATCTAATGAAGTAACGATTAGGTGGGCAAGGTATTGGATGACACAAACTGGGCTTCCATAAGTAGAGTTTCTGAAATGGTGCAAGTAACACATTAACATATGTAAAATCAAAGCTTATTGTATTAATATAATTTGTTTATTTGGTCATTTGATCACTTGTTTTTTCAGCAAATATTTACTGCTATTTTAAATACAGTTTAAGGACCTAAAACTTCTGAACACAAGAGCAGAGGAACTTTTTAACCTCTTATGGGTCCAAATCTGTTATTTTCTCATAAACAACAATAGCAGCTTATTCAAGCTTTTAAACATTGAGGTTCCTAAGTGGCTCATGGCTTGGACTTACAGTTCTAACAATAATTGGTATAGAACCTTACATCATGTAGATGTTCTCTAAACTGTAAGAACCTTCTTTACGCACACATCTCATTTGCACAAATGTTTCTTTAACCCCTTAAATGGCCAGGGCTCACTGGCGAGCCTAATTTTTACTGCACACTTCTGTAACCTAAGAAAAGCTCAGACAATTTGCATTGAAGTCCCTGTAGTTCTTAAATAATAAACCTTGGTATGAAATAAGCCTGGGATTTTAAAGGGTTAAAGAACCATCTGTTAAAGATTCTTTAGGGATTGAAAAGTTTTGTTGTTGGTTTGCACCAAGGAAACAATTTCCAACCCCTTCAGATAAACACACTACTAAAAATAAAGGTTCATTAATGGTTCTTGACTTGAATCATTGGTGTAGGGCCTTTACATTATGTGACAGTTCTGTAAAAAGGATCTTCGCTCTGTAACGTGTCAGAAAGGCTTTAAAGCAGCATCTATTGAAAGGTTTGCTAGGGAACCATCACTCAAAGGAACCTTTATTTTAAGAATCAAAGAAACGTCCAACTCCTTTTACTAAATACACTCCTAGTGCAAAATAAAGGCTTCTAAATGGTTCTTCACTTGGATGTTCTGTTTTGGGAAAACATTTAATTGGTGTAGAACCATTATATTATGTGGAGGTTCTTAAAAAAGCTTCTTCACACTCTAGCAGGGTTTGTTAGGGAACAAAAAGAGGTTCTTCTCTGGCATTGCTTCTTTATTTTTAAGACCGTAAGCAATGCACAACCCCTCCAGCTAAAACGGAAGGTTCCTAAATGGTTCTTCAGTCGAATTTACTGCTCTAGGAAAATCTTTAACCCCTTAAAATCCCAGGCTTATTGCATACTAAGTCTCATTATTGAGTAACTACAGGGACTCGAATGCAAACTGGCTGAGCTATTCTTAAGTTGTAGAAATGTGTAATAAAACTTTCAGCCTGCCGGTGGTTCCTCTATTTAAGGAATTAATTGGTGTAGGATGTTAACATAATATGGAGGTTCTACAAAGTTTAAAAAGGTTCTTCACACTTGCATGTTTACAGAAAAGGTTCCATCAGCTGAAAAAAACTGAAATGTTGTTAAGGGAACTAAAAGTGGTTCTCCAAAGAAACTCTGGCACATTCATTTTTGCATTATATAAAGGGACAGTGCCACCCTTTTATTATTCTAACACCACAGGGTGCATGCTTAAAGAAAAACAATGTACCCACTATGAGTTCTTTTCCTCTTTGAGATTGCAATATGGACCACTTTACAGGTCTCGGTGTTTTGAGTAATATCCAGGACCGAAAGTGAAAGGAAGCTAACTGTAAGCAAGAAGTAACTAATCCTTATTAATAGTATTTGTTTCAAGCCAGTTGTAGATAGAATTGTCAGGAAATGACTGAACACTATTTACTAAAAGGCAGCGAACAGCAGTATTTAAAACTAGAATAAACTTGAGAGAGAGCAGAGAAAACAAGCCAGTAGTAGAATGAAAAAGTCTTACCTGTGGCTGCAGCAGAAAATAGAAGAAAAACTGGAAGAAAACACGATAACTGAACTGAGACCATGTCGATCACACAAGGCTCAGAGCCTTTTCCTCTGTGTGTGTGAGTATGAGATACGTCAACCGCTCTCACACACACACTGCACTACACAATGTCCTGTCCTAAAACGCTCACACTTTGAACCCCTGCAAGACAAGTGACGAAACCACTGAGTCTTTCCTTTCAGCAAAACCAGGAACAGGTCATTCTAACGCAGAACTTCTACGTACAGATCACTATCAGCACTTCTGTTTAGCTCGTTAAAACGAGTGAAACATTCCTGGTCTTTGTCTCTACGGTGCTGAGTCTGAAGCCTGCAGTGTTTAAGAGAGAGCAGCACATGTGTTACAAACATAGGCATGATCAGAATAAAGGGATCTGGGGGATTTCTGTACCACACCCCTGAGCTTCTGCTTCTCGAGGAAAATAATGATGGAACACAGGAAATGAACACAAATTTCATGACACTATATGTAGTGGGGTTTTTTAAACCATGATGCAACGTCTTTTCAGAAGTAAAACACAAAAAGAAATGTGGTAATTCATTCTGTTTTTGTTAAAGTCCAACAGCCAAAAAATATGGCAGCACTTGAAGAAAGCATACATAACACAAGCACAGCACTGTGCAGACGTCTGAGCCAACTTCCAGTTATTTAATATCCCCAAGTCACTCATGTTTAAGGGGATCTTTATGAGGAGATTAGATATGAGATAATTCACTTACATTATGAAGAAAATAAGTGAAAAAACAGTAGTTTCCAAAATTTTTCAAAAAAAGGACTCCTGACACGACCTGGTAGGCCTTAAAACTATGATCATCAGTACTGAAGCTTTCATCTTTGTTTAGAGAGGAGCAAATCAAGCTCCCCTCCTGCCTAAGATCTGAAAAATCCACAGGTGTTTCTGTCCATCCTTCAATTGTGAGAAGAAAACTCAGCGCTATGAGTCTGAAAGGATGTGCGGCTAACAAGAAGCCTCACTGAGAAAAGGAGACAGACAGAAAACATAAAAACCGGCAGTCAAATTTTTTTCTGGCGCTCTTAAAACAACGGACTGACCACCCCAGAGTCCAGACCTCAACATCACTGAATGTGTTTGAGAGCATTTGGATCATGAGAAGCAAAAATGCAACCAACTTCTAAGACTGAACTTTGGAGGTGTGGAAAAACACCCCTGCAGATTTCTGTGAAAACTGAAAGTGAGTCTCCTGAAAAGAAATGAAGCTGTAATAAAGGCAGAGGGTGGACACTGCAAATACTGAAAAATTAGTCACTTGTACTTAATAGCCATTTTGACAGGAAATTAAATAAACGCTGGTCTCTGACTTGAACACAGTACTGTACATTTTCTTAAACAAATTTAAATACACACAAAGTGTAAATGGCTTTTAGTGTTCTATGTTGAACATGAACTAAAGCATGGAACATCAATATGAAACAAAGCACCAGATATGCTCATCATTTCATGTAAAAGTAACAGTATTTATTGTTACATGAAAGTTACCATTGCTTGTAACACTGCTACGATAATACTAATCTCTAATCCCACCCTATGGGATTTTCAGTGCTATGTTATCATGGTGGTGTTTATTGTGTTTACTGTTACTGTGTTTAGAGTTACGTATGGCTGCTCTATTGAACACAGATATTTGATGCTTGTAAGAGGCACCAAAGTAACACTGACACTTAAGTAACTTCTGTTCAGGCTCAAAGCCAAGGATCATGATTTATTCTGTAATCTTTTTTTTAAGTGACATTCTTGGAAGTCGAGTTTTGTGAACTAAAACTGCGGTCTCTGTGGTTGGTATCGCAAAAACCAAGCTGACTTGTCAGTTTTGTCTCAGCACAAATGACAAAAGGATCATTTTGTCTGCTGCTTAGTTATGTGTGGAGCTAACATCTCCCAAAGCAGCTCGAACCAGACTACTGGATTCGAGCTATTTGTAAAAGCCCTAATAAAGTTTCAGCTCCTGAATGAGGCATGAAAATCTCTACACTCCTTTCACTTTTCCAACCTCTACACAACCTGCACACTGTACACCAACCTTTACGCAGATAATCAAACTCTTTTATTTATTTAAAGTTGTAATTACAGAATGTTGAGTGGAATATTCATTTTATTCATTGTTTAACTTTTAAAACACAATTAAAATCATATTTTCAGAAAATGAACATTTAGCCTAATGAGTGATATAAGTTCACAGAAAGTGTGAATTTATATGGACAATATCCACTCATAGCTGACGCTACAGCAGGTGAACAGACTGTAGTGTGAGACGCTGTGTTGAACTCGTAGCTTACAGTGAACGTATCCGTCTCCCATCTGATATCTGGCCTTCAGTGCGGCGGTCATCAAACATCTGCTCAGTTTCATTTTGAGTGACTCGGGCGTGAAGGCTCTCACCCTCTTACCTACAGGATGTGGTGACACTTATACCAACAACACAGTATTCAAACTCAAATCTAGACCCAGTTTCTGACCTTCCTATCTCAAAGAGGATCATCATACAAGCAGACACGCTGAGCTAGCGCTCTCGCTCAGGTACCCCAGGGAAACAAACAGGGCTGTTAAACATGATGCTTTGTTAGCTTGTTGTGTTCCGGCTCTTCAGGTGAATCATGCATGGGATGTTGCAACAAACTGTGGCCAGCTGTGTTACCAGCAGTGAGCCAGTGTAGCACAACAAGAGTGCTGACATGGCTAATCAAGACAAGCTCAGTGAGGAAGCGTTAGCACTAAGATCAGTTTTCAGTTAAAGAGAGTGCTCAGAGTTACGATCTATTATTGTACAGAATCTTAATACTATAACATAACGCTGGGCTGCACTGTTACATTTTAAAATCACAGTATTTTCATATCTATCACCGTTTCCTGGGTTCAGATGATTTTCCAATGTGCAGGAATGAAGCTAATGTTTGTCCTGTTTAACTCTCCTACAGTTACACCCTCCAGTTTAAGTAATATCCAGCTCCCACCCACCATTTACACCTCCCCCATCACACAATGCTATCAAGCTGGTGGGTGAAGGCCTGTACACGCTTCCTCTGAGACTCGTAACAACATGTTGTTTGTTGTTCTCTGTGGAGGTCATACGTCTGTGCGTCCACCATATTGGAAAGGTCAAGATCCACTTACAAATACATGTGGATTAGGATATGATGATTTCTCATGTTCAAATCGACCATAATTTGCTTATTACTAAATCTTTTTCCACCAAATTTGTTCGGTTATGATGGTTAGATATGTTCCTGATTATTTAAGTGTCCAATTTATGCCGTAATATTCATATAACACCCTCATTATCAACAGCTTGCTGTACATGAACTGTCAAATTAGAAACAAAGGAGCTCATACCAGCCATTAAAAGTGACCCAGTGAAGTTATATTCACATTTACATTTATGTATTTATCTCATGCGTATGGCAGTGGTGGGATCCCACTTTGGCAAAGAGACAGCAGATCAAATACATCACAATCACAAGCACGATCAGTGGTTTTCAACCTGTGGGCTGCAGACTCCACAGTGGGCTGTGGTGGATAAGTGCAAATGTTCCTTACAATAAACAGATATTTAACTAAACCATTGGGTCTAGTACTTCCGGTGTAATGTGTGTGTGAGCGAAGAGCTGAGAGAGTCAGATATGAGCTAGGTAGCCAATGAGCTGTTGGTAAAGAGAAAAACTCTGGCTGGTATATGTTTATATTGTCAGTGGAAGTCAATATAGAATGTTTTTCTTTTTGACATGGGACAGCTCAACACGCTTGGAGGAGAACACTGACTGGTAATGACTGTTACATCAGCTGACAGACATCTGTGTTGGCTAACACTGAGGGTCATCCGTATCTGTCTCCCATCTGATATCTGGCCTTCAGTGCGGCGGTCATCAAACATCTGCTCAGTTTCATTTTGAGGCCTCATCTGCTGGTCGTGACTTGGGCGTGAAGGCTCTCACCCTCTTGCCTACAGGATGTGGTGACACTTCTTATACCAACAACACAGTATTCAAACTCAAATCTACACCCAGTTTCTGACCCTCCTATCTCAAAGAGGATCATCATACAAGCAGACATGCTGAGCTAGGGCTCTCGCTCAGGTACCCCAGGGAAACAAACAGGGCTGTTAAACATGATGCTTTGTTAGCTTGTTGTGTTCCGGCTCTTCAGGTGAATCATGCATGGGATGTTGCAACAAACTGTGGCCAGCTGTGTTACCAGCAGTGAGCCAGTGTAGCACAACAAGAGTGCTGACATGGCTAATCAAGACAAGCTCAGTGAGGAAGCGTTGGCACTAAGATCAGTTTTCAGTTAAAGAGAGTGCTCAGAGTTATGATCTATTATTGTACTGAATCTTAATACTATAACATAACGCTGGGCTGCACTGTTACATTTTAAAATCACAGTATTTTCATATCTATCACCGTTTCCTGGCTTCAGATGATTTTCCAATGTGCAGGAATGAAGCTAATGAAGCTATGCTTCCTGAATGCTGCTGCTCTGTGGCAACAGACAACGCTGACGTAACTTGTATTAATTTGACTGTTTTGTTCTGTTTGACTCTCCTACAGTTACACCCTCCAGTTTAAGTCATATCCAGCTCCCACCCACTAGCTAGACCTCCCCCATCACACAATGCTATCAAGCTGGTGGGTGAAGGCCTGTACACGCTTCCTCTGAGACTCGTAACAACATGTTGTTTGTTGTTCTCTGTGGAGGTCATACGTCTGTGCATCCACCATATTGGAAAGGTCAAGATCCACTTACAAATACATGTGGATTAGGATATGATGATTTCTCATGTTCAAATCGACCATAATTTGCTTATTACTAAATCTTTTTCCACCAAATTTGTTTGGTTATGATGGTTAGATATGTTCCTGATTATTTAAGTGTCCAATTTATGGATCCCACTTTGGCAAAGAGACAGCAGATCAAATACATCACAATCACAAGCACGATCAGTGGTTTTCAACCTGTGGGCTGCAGACTCCACAGTGGGCTGTGGTGGATTTATTTTTTTTTTAAGCGCAAATGTTCCTTACAATAAACAGATATTTAACTAAACCATTGGGTCTAGTACTTCCGGTGTAATGTGTGTGTGAGCGAAGAGCTGAGAGAGTCAGATATGAGCTGGGTAGCCAATGAGCTGTTGGTAAAGAGAAAAACTCTGGCTGGTATATGTTTATATTGTCAGTGGAAGTCAATTTAGGTTTTTACAAGTAACTAAGGTTTGACGAATGGGCTAATATTACCCAGAAATATTAACTTTTGATCATGTATTTCAGAATTAATGTGAATTTTGTTCTGCAAACTGCAAAAAAATGCACAAGTTTATGGGAAATTCCACTAT